ATCTACTCTCTATCTCCTATATGGCACCTAAATGCCTCTAAACACACACAAGGGTTCTCCCCTATTACGTCTATACTGCTTAGTCTCTCTAACGGGAAGGAGAGCTATAGCTAGAAATAGTAGAAATACTCGCACATGCAAGAAATGCTTTCTAGGGTAGCGCAACAGCACTGTAAATCCTTAGCTCAGCACGTCCTACATGCCCTTCGGGAGGCAGGATGGTGGACTTAATCCCCATCCTTCGGACGAAAATCAATTCCAACCAACCAACCAATCAGATCTTAGCCTTAGCACGCAATTATATTAACCACATTAGCAAATAGACCTTCTTACTAGCCTTTAAAGTAGCTTTTAAGAAGGTGTTTACAAGAGAGAATGCTTGCGCAGGGTTTTAAGGCGCTAGATTGTCTCCACATAATCTACAGGCTGTGTTATTAAAGCTGGATGTGCAGCTGCGTACGCAAACTCCACCACAGCAAGTCAACGCTACTTAGGAGGCAAAAACACCACACAACGCTAAAGAAATAGAGGCGCAATTAACACTAGTTTAAAACAGGATAAAAATCTATTAAGGGTCTCTAGCAAGTTCACTTAATAAGCAGGTGCAGCAGCTAATAAAAGGCGCGCAGTAGATAGCTTATAAGATAGTGTTAATGCGCGCAGAGATAGTGCGCCTTAATACTACTACTAAAGCAGCAACAAAGTGTAAAAGTCGCAAGAGACGCTACGTACAGGCAGAGGAGACATTAACAGTTAGTAAGGTATTAGACTTAATTGCTGAAAGGGAGGGTGGCAGATGTGAGGAGGGTAAGGAGCTGGCGAAGAGGGTGCGCGCAGGGCAACACTGCGGCTGTTGCAGTGAGATTAGGCACAACTCTTGCACCTGCAAGGTAGAAATTAAGGATATAAATAACAGCAATGCTTCTAAATAATACTATACTGTTGCAAGAGTACAAAATTTGTGTTGTGGTGCTAAGCTACGTCGCTGCGCGTACGCCTCGCTGGTGTTCGTGGGGCGCTCACTGAGGTGGGGCGCTCACTGATAAAACAGGTTATAGATAGAGCGAAATTGTAGATTTAAAATAAGTAAAAAATTATTATTATATGCCTACTACAACACAAGTTATAGAGTGTTAAAGGTTTGTTTGTTAAAGGTTTGTGTTTTGAAGTTGCAACAGCACACCATAGCAGCTGCAGCTGCGCCCGCACACAACGTAGCAGCTGCAACAGCATACAACATAGCACCTGCTGACCACAACACACACACACACACACACACACAGCAGCAGCGCAACAGGAGCTTGCAGAACAGGCAGGCCTAGGCATAAAATTCTTGGTTTACCTACTATTCTTAAATAATATTCTTATATTTTCTAATATTTGGGCTGCTAGAGCCCTAGCAAAGAATCTTAACTTAGTGTCTTAGCAAGGAACATTAAGCTTAAAACCTTCTACACTTAATAACTATTCTATTACTAGGCCTATAATATTATTTAATAGCTTATTTTAAAGAGGAGATATATTAGTATATTAATATAATAAAAGTATAGTTTATTAAGTAGAGCTACTATTATAGCAGGATTAGGAGTTGTTGTAGCTATTATAGCTGTTAGGACTATTAGAGCTATTAGCTTGAAATTAGCTAGACATTAAATACACATTAAATAACTATTATAGGCCTATAAGTCCTACTGTTGCCCACAGTACAATGCCACGATTTCCTGATTTCGACAACAGAAAAACTTTTCCTGATGTAGAGCGTTGAACGTACCTTATTAGCAGGTCTCTAATTGCCTTTGCAATATCACGTTTTAACTAGACGTACGCGCTAATTGCTAGAAACTTACTATACTAGAGGAGCAGACAATTATCTAGTATATACTTAACCTTAATTTGCAAGGATTTGCGCCCTAGCTATGTAAGGTGGCAGATATAGCTAATAAGATACTTAGTGTGCGTAGTGAAGAGCCTGTTGGTAAACTATAGGCTAGTAGGCTTGTGACACGTTTAGACAAGCTTAAAATAGCCTATAATTAAGCTAAGGATAGACAGAGGATACTATAGGAAGATTCTAAGATAATTAGCATGTAGTTTAAGCTAGTAAAGGATACTTAAGTTAAGTATAGTGTTTGTAATAACAACATACATAACTCTAATAAAACTAGGTTCTAGATAGGTGTTGCTTTGTCTTTAAAGGTTGTAATAGGCTTAGAGAGACGTGCTTAGCCAGAGCTTGTTCAGCCAGGTGATCGCGAGTGGGTTACCGTTATCCAGAGCATCTGCGCC